TATACTAATATATATATATATATATAGTATATTCTTTTATGTAAATGAAAAAAAAACAAAAAAATGTATATCGACCATCTGAAAATTCGATCGAAAAACGCCGCAGCTGGCGTCTCGGAACGCGTAGTTTATTGAAAAGACACGTTTTTTTCGATCGCCGCCTTATCTAAGACGACCAAATGCGGAAAAGTGGAATTAAACAGGCCGTCTAATCGATTTCCGCCATTTTTATCAATTTCCGGTAAAACGACCCTATTCTTATAATTTTAAAGTGCTTACATATTTTTAAATTTGGGATTCTTACATTTATTAACATTTCCCCTGCTTTTGGATCTAATTGCCACAGTTCTAGGCCTATATACAACTTGGAGCAGCCTTAGCTGTAGGGAATTTCTTTCCTCTTAGCTTTTATCGATTTGATCAGTAGGAAATTCTATCTGTTCTTTTTATTTTTTATATATTTTCGAGTTTCTGATTTTTTTATAATTGTAAATTTTTCCGCTCGGATTCATTTGAATTATGCGCACTGAGCGCATCTGCAAAAGGATAAAAAAAACTTTTTTTCTCTCGCTCTCTCTCTTTCTCTCTTTTTCGTGCATTACTATACTAAAAAAATAATTAAACAATGTAAATTTTATTCTTCCAAATTCAATTTTTTCTTTCTATCAATTTCTGTTCTACATGTTTAAAAGACGTTTTCTTTATTTTGAACTCTCCAAAGGGGATAGATAGATAGATAGACAAGTGAAACATTTATAATAATTTTTAAACAGCTAGGCCTAACCTACGTTTTACTTAAAATTAATGTATAATTTCAAAATCAATAATTTCAAACATTCCTTAGATAAATTTTTAACTAATATAGATGAAAATCAAATATTGTATAGTTTTTCATTTGTTCGACCGTTACATTTGTCTATCTCCACCTCCCCTTTCCTCTCTCTCTCTCTCTCTCTCTCTCTGTTTCTGCCCTTTGTCGTTTCGTTCGGTATACAGTGTACGTTAAATAATAATCATATTAGTGCATTTATTCATTGATTCATTCATTAGTTCATTCTTTATTTGTTTATCTTTCCTCCCCTTTATCTCATTCCGTGTCTCTGTCCCCGTCTCTCTTTCTCTTTCTCTCTATCAAGTCACCTATCTATTTATATATCTATCTATCTATCTATCTATCTATCTATCTAAATATCTTTCTATTCATGTATCTCTATATATATATCTATCTTTCTTTCTCTTCTTCTCTCTTTTTTCTTTCTCTCTCCCGTTAATCAAATATTTTAAGATCATTTGTTATCTATTTAAGTAAAAGAGAATATCTATTTAAGGAGATAAAGGATTAATTTTAAAGCTTATTCCGCTTAAATTCATAAACTATTTAAGAAAATTTCCGTCAGAGATACTCTATTATTCTCCTTATGAATATTTTTCGTCTTTTGCTACTCAAGAAGGAAGATCACTAACATGCCATCTAGTGGTTACTATTGATGAGCAGTTGATTGGAAATCTATTTTGATAAGCTTGTTCCCCAGTTGTCCATTCGGAAATGTTGACAGAGTAAATATCCAAAGTAGATTCACCCTGCTTATATTGATTTTTAAGCAACAATTCACTAACTTCTAATTGAATACATGGGGATGAACAAATAGTCTCATCCTCATTCGATTGATGGAAATGCTAAACGAGTACAAGCTGATAAGCAAATAGAGGATATAACAATTAATATCTATATTAAAACATACTTAATATACTGTCTATTGCGCATGTCTTAATAATTAAGTTGAGACTATCACCGACGTTCAAATGAATATTTGTGAAGAGCAATTAGAGTTGTTAATTTTTCAATGAAATCTTTATAGTTGCTGATATACTACTTGCATATATAAAGAAATCTTATTGTTTATAGAATATAATGGACATTACACCAATTAATATAATATATATATATATATATATATAAATACTATATATGCAATGAAAGAATGATATTTCTAAGGAAATAGATGTAGTTGAGTATGTTAGCATATTAAAATTGTAGAGGTGAATGGATATTGGATAGTTGGATACTAACTAAATGCACCAGTAAGAATGTAAGAACAAATGAAAAGAATAACAGTATTTAACAAACTTGTCAATTCAAAAAATAAACAAATACTGCATGGGCAACAGTGTTGCATTTTTCTTCCTTTGAACTCTGATGACACTTTTATCCGTTATTAAGTTTAAAAAAAAGATTTGTCTCTTCCTTAAACAAATTAATAAAAATGAAATATTTAGAATTATCAAATATTAATGGCTATTATCCCATATTTCTTGTTTATAATGCAAAGCATTAATAAGTATATTTTATGTTCAAATTCAAGTATAAATTATATACTGTATAAATTTATATATATATATCTTATTATCAAAAAAAAGTTCCTTCTATATAACACAAATATCTAATTGTTTTTCCTTTTAAGTAGGATAAAAAATGGAGAAAATAAAAAATAAAAGAAGGAATTTGTACCTTTTAAAAGATGGTTTAATCTGCCATGTTACTAATTTAAATAAAATAATCTATTTAATTTGTAGATAGACGTTAAAATAGTATTTCATAATGCTTCATTAGAATAATATTTATATTATGTTATTATATTTTCTCTTTTATTTACCATTTTACTTATTTCTTTTATATCATGTCAAAAAGAAGTATTTAAGTGCACGGTCTTTAACATTGACACTGTCCTCAAAGTATGCTGAAGGTCCTTTTTATGTAACATGTACATATATTAAATATCTCATACTATTTATATACGTATATATACGTATATATGTAGGTATAGGTGATATAAGTATACAATATATATATAAATATATAAATATATATGTATATATATATAGATATACATATAGATACGTATTATTTATTTATGGCAGATAACAATTGAACCCTTTTTAATAAAAATAAACTGGAATCGTCACAAATCATTATCTTCATTCACTGTAAAAAATATTATTTATATCTAGTTTCTTTTCTTTTTTCATTTTATTCAAATTGAATTTGAGTTAACGTCCTTTGATCAAAGTTTTTTATGTATATTTGCGCTAAGAGTCACAATTATTTCAAGTTGAATCGAATGATTGATTCCTTTGAAAAGAAGTAATGGAACTAGAAAAAAAAAAACAAACATTTAGGTTAATTTATTGTCTATAAAAAATGAAATGTTAAATAAACTATATAAAAAAAGCTGTTTTTATCTTTTTACAAACTTTCTTTGAAATTAAAAGTTGATATTAATATTGGAATTTAGTTGGAAACTGAAAGGAAAAACGTATTAAAACTAAAGAGAAAATAATATTAGAAATAGAAGAGATGCAATTTAAAAAAGTTTCTTTTTTTTCTTTCACTATAAATTAGAAAAGTAAACAATCTATAAGATAATAAATACTCTATGCTAACCCTTCTCCTATGACATCCATATTTAATCCTATAGATAGAAATTATTTTACTTTCTTAGATATGAACAGGCAGCTATAGACCTTGATCTGCCAAGTTTATAAAAAAATTTGGCCTGCTAATTGAAACTAGATTCTTGCCAAAAATTCCGGCATATAAGGAGTGAAATCGACAAGAAATTTATTATTCCAGTGAAAGTTTGACATCATGAACTTAAAGTACGCCTTCACTCTGGCACTGACCGCTTTGGCTTTGAACTTTTACTTGTCCAATTGCATATCGGTTGAGAGACAAAGACAAAGAATTATAGCAAGAGATTTGAATTTTACAACTGAAGAAGTATGGAAAAGTTTATCATATTTTCTATTAAAGGAAATTTATATACCGCAAGTCTATTCTAATGATATTCCGCAATATTTTTCAACTAAACTGTCAAAGAAATTCAACTTTCTTCAACCGATCAAATACGAAAGTAGAGCCTTTAAAAATGATAAGAAAGCTTATATCCAGAAGGCGATGACCAACTTAATGGATCTGAATTCGATAATGAATACAGTAATTAACAGAATTGAGCACAGATATATTGGTAATTGTAATAAAAAGAGAATATGTAACAGTTCTTGCCATTCAAGCAACTGCCAGGATATTAATTGTTTATTCTGCAAAATAAATTTGATATTACCAACGAAAGTTGATAACCTCTTTAAATATTTGAAAAAGGATTATAAACTGGAATATCACGAGGATGAAAAGAGAATGGAGAGACTTGTACCAAAAGATATAGATATAGGAGATATTTTTGAAATTTCAGCCCTAATGGCGTATACTTATATGAAACAAATGGAATATATAGTCAAACTATTTTAAATAGATAGTACTGCTTTATCCTGTAGCTATAATATCAATTAGTTTCTATTTTATTTTGCTTGCTTTTATTGCATAACCTCTGTTAAACGTTTTTCATTTTACAGTAGCTATCTGTTTTCACTATTTTTCCCTTATACTCTGACTACCCTCTCTCTTTCACACTCACTCTCTCTTCTCTCTTTCTAGTTATCTCTTTTTCTCTCTCTCTCTCTCTCTCTCTCTTTCTTTCTTTCTTTCTTTCTTTCTTTCTTTCTTGCCTTTACCTCACATTGTATCTTTTTTTACCTCTATTTCTGTTTCTCAATTTTTGTTTCTTATTTTTTTCTCTCTCTATTTTATTCCCTCCTTTGTTTTCACCTTTATTGTTTTGTCTTTTTACTTCACTCCTCTCTAAATGATTCAGCTACTTTTCATACATCAATCCGCTTCAATTATTTTACAGAATACATTTATGAAAATGCAAATGTTTTAATAGATTTTTTTATATAAATTTATATATCCAAACTAAATACATATAAAAAAATAGGGAATTTCCATTGGCACTTGTGATTTATTCTTTTTTTCTTTAATTTTTTCTCTCTATCCCTTTTATTCTTTTCTTTTTCTGTCAGTTGAGATTTGTCAGACGTAAAAAAAATTGAAAATTTTAAATTTCCCGCCGAAATGAAAGACAATGTATTACAGTTTAGGAATCATATTTGAAAAAAAACTTTAACATTACTTGACCCCAGCATCTAGTATTAGATAATTTCTTTTTTGTTTATGAAATATATTGATAATCGACCTGGAGAACAAGTTACAAGAAACTAAAACTATTTAAATTAAATATTAAAGATTTTTTACTTTTTATATTTGAAAAGTTTGTTATCTACATAAATAAGTTTAGGGGGAAAAGATATACATTTTTGAGCAATTCTTTATATTCGATATGACTTGGAGAGCTATCTTAACAACATCAGCTGTTGTTGCTCCGATAACTGCAGTGTCACTTGATATATTTGGCTATGTAGCAAAGGTAGAGGGTATATCTATGCAACCGACTTTGAACCCTACAGGAGAATCAGATTATATATTTTTGAATAGATGGGCAGTGAGAAATTATGAATTTGCGAGAGGAGATGTAGTTTCATTAATGTAAATTTCATAAAATAAGAGGAGCAAACTCTAATACAAGAATTTATTCGCTTTAAGGTGTCCAAATAATCCGAAGCAGAAAATTATTAAAAGAATAGTCGCACTTGAAGGGGATACAGTTAAAACGATATCTTATAAGAATCGAAAAGTTATTATACCAAAAGGTCATTGTTGGTTGGAAGGCGACAATAGAAATCATAGTTTAGACAGTAATTACTTTGGTCCAGTAAGTAATTAATCAAATAAAAAAAAGAGTTATTATCATTAAATTGTAAATCTTTCCTTTTTTAAATTTATTAAATAGGTTGCTCTGGGTTTAATTACTGCAAAGGCAAAGAGAATTATATGGCCACCAACTAGATGGAAGGAAATTGAATTTTCAAATAGTATTGGATCCGATCGTTTAAAAATACCTTTTGCAAATGATGATGATGATGATGACGAAGACAACTTTTAATAGTGTTAATAAAAAAAGGACAAGTTATATATAGATACTATATATATATCTGACCTCATTAATATTCATTATAAATTATAATAATATATAAACAAATATCACCTCTTGTTTGCATCTTGAATATATTTTCAATTAAAAGATCCTCTATATATTGTTTTGAAATCTTACTACTTCGCCATCTAGTGATTTAAGAATCTTAGAAACAATTAACTAATAAAGGTGTACTTCATTTACTAGACATAAGAACGAGTTTCTGGACAAAGACAATCAACTGCATGTAATTGAGTTATGTAACTTTGTCTGGAGGATATTTATTCGCGTCTTAATTTCAGGTTAAATTGTATATGGATTTGTTTTTAAAACAAGCAAAACTTTTATTGTGTTTATGTAACAGATTCAGTGTTTTTCGTTAATGCATATCCCCCTAGCGGACTTTCGATAACACTGTAGTTCATCGTTCAAGTCTCTAAAATACTAAACAAACGATCAGACGAAGTCCGAAAGTACAGATATTCACTTTGACGGTGAGAAGAGAACGAGAAACAAAATGTTCGTATGTTTTGAATAGTTCAAGTATACTTTAAATTTTTAAGTAAACCTTTTCTCATATAAATTCATGCTAATACGCTTACAATCTATTATTATTAATTACGAAATTTCTTAATATATTGGTTGTTGATGACATTAAGTATGAACCTAATTGTCGTTTGCTTCGATGTAATAGGGAGATTGATGGCTGTGATGAAAATTACTCTTTATCTTTGGAAAAAGCTTATATTGCCAGTACGGAGACGATCGTAATCTATAAAACTCTATTCGAATTACTTACGAAGAGGAAAGAGCAACGCGGAAATGACGAAGCTTTCGTTTGGTATACAAAGTCGTTGAACAGAATAACTTTAACCTACAATGAATGGTATCAGAAGTCTCTTACTGCGGCCTCTAATTTGTCATCAACCATACGAAAAGGAGATTTAGTATGCGTTTTTTGTAATAATGGAATTAATCCAGTCGTTGCACTAACAGCATTGCAAATTTTGGGAGCTAAAACTTGTATAGTAGCCGCAGAGAGACATCTTGAAAGTATTTGTAATGTTTTCAATTTCAAGGCTATTTTTTTGGGCAAGGACTTCTTAACAGATAACGTTAGAGCGGTGATAAAGGATGTCGATAAAATGTTTTTACTAGATGGAGAGTCTAACGAAGGTCAAATCAATTTTGAAATGTTGCTTGAAAAGGAAGACTCAGATTTCATAAATAATTTACCCGTCGTTAATCCAGATGACGTCACTCTGTTATTACTAAGTTCCGGTTCGACTGGAATGCCTAAATTAATTTGTAAAGATCAAATGGCCATAGTTCATATGGCTGTAAGTATGTGGAAGTTAACCAAGACGAAAAATTTGTTTAATGATAGAACACTAGCACATTTGGGAGGTTTATTTTCGGTATTCAGTTCAGCTATGGGTCAAACTATTGTTTCCACAACAGTACCTATGGCCAAAACTTCTGAGAACATTTTAGAAATTTGTCAGAATGAAAAAATTGAGGCTGCTTTTTTTGTTCTTTTTTTCTTTTACGATCTAGTAGCGATGAAAGACAAAATAGGTGAAAGTTTAAAGGATTTAAAGGTTATTACAACTGGGGGTCAAATACCAATTAAATCAGTTATTAACAAGTTTCGTCAAATCTTTCCCTATATTCATATATACGATGTTTACGGTTCGACAGAAGTCAGTATGGCATTCTCTAAAAACTTGACAAATGTTGACGATTTCTTTATAAGTACAACTCAAGAGATATCAATTAGGGATGAAAATGGTCGTATTGTAAAAAGAAATGAAAATGGCGAAGTTTGGATTAGGCCACACTACGGTTTTCATGGTTATTTCGGTAAAGAGTCCACTGCCGCGTTATCTTGGCAAAGAATGTCCGATATCGGTTACATTACGACCAAAGGGCGTTTGGAAATCTTGGGTAGAACTACCGACCAATTGCATATTGGTATGCTAAAGGTTAATCCATTTATCTACGAGGAAAAGATTAATGAATTAAACGAAATTGAGAAGGCAGTTATTATTGGTATACCCGATGAAAGATTGGGAGAGACGATGTGCGTCGTCGTTAAATTTACCAAAGAATATCTAGCGAATACATGCTTAGAAAAGGCAGAGGAATTCTTAATGAAATGGTGCTCGAAAAATTTAAAAGGAAACGAAAATTTGGGATTAATTGTCAAAGTTGCTAGAATACACGTCCTAAAAGAAGAATGGCCAAGAACAAGTTTAGGAAAACTTATAAGAAAAGATGTTCAGCGATTGGTACTCGAGAAATAAAAACAAAAATATTCAACTTGAAGATGAATCCTATTATCATAGCAATCACTTATACGTTGTTGTATCTTAGTTTTTCGTGTCAAAGATTGACGCTTTTAGATTATTATTATTAGATGATTAACATTTTAAATATTTACATCAATATCTCTATGACTAGATATGTTTAAGATATTTTTAAGAATCGAATTAGCCTATGATATATTTGTTTTTCTATTTCTTTCATCATGTTCCGATTACTTTTTTATGATAGCAATACAAAAGACTTAGTATTATATTTCAATTTAAACTTTTATATTAAATTGTTACCTAAATAGTTTTACGTTCTAGTTTTTGTTCTACAAAGATAACGAAAACAAATGTAAAGAATACAACAAAACTTTACTCTTTGTAACGATTTGTTGTCTTCTTTGTTTTCTTCTTTTTTGTTAGTAAAGCATTTTTATAAAAGATACAATTACGATTATTATCATATTATCATTATAATAGATAGTAAAATTGAGGATGTTGTGTTATATTATCCTTTCCTCAAAACAAAATCATAAATTGAAAAATTTAGTGAATATGACATTCATTGAAGTAATTTCAGTTGAAAATAACGTGATATATTACACTTGTTTGGGTTGAAACTAGGTTTGGAATAATCTTAGACATTTTCATTATTTTGTCAAAACTTTTTCCCCTCTTCAGTTTTGATGAGATAAAGTAGAAAACTATATATTTTATACTTCAGTTATGGTTTAGTAAATGAGGCGAAAAGTAATTAAAGGAACCTTGCAATCTATTCTCGAGTCCATATGCTATTGACATTATACACATCTACCCTGGAAAAATAATATACTATATACTATATAAATAATAACATTATAGTATAATATATGATATACATTGTATAAAAATCACCTAAGGCTGGAACATATTTTTGCAGTAGAAGAAGAAGAGAGAGAGGCGACAAAATGAAATAGTTTAACCTCATCAATGATATAAAAGTATTGACTTTTGCAATACTTTGTCTACATTAATTATGACTCACTATCATTTCTTTAAGATTCTATTATTTATTAACACATGACACGTTATCTAAAAGGAAATCTATAGTGTTTTAAGTTGATATCACCCAGCTATGGCCTTGTTTTTATATAGACAATACTATTATTTATAGTATAGAGTTTGTACTCTGTTTGAACCAATGATTGAAAAAAAAGTATGAAACGAGGATGCAAATAGCATTGATAATAACAATAATTCTACTCGCCGCTTCTCAATAAACAATTTAGAGCTATAATGTTTATTTTGCTAGAAAAAAAATCAAATGTTTAAAAAATTCTATACAGTTAGATAAGAGCGTTCATCATTTGCTTCATCTTCTTTTCTTTCTCTCTCTCTCTCTCTCTCTGTTACATTTGTTAGAAAATAATATGTATTTTAAAATTAGTCATACTAATTACTTTTTATATTTAAGGCAAAGCTTATCCGGGAAGAGACCCCAAGATTATTCTCCCGTAAGAGACACACTCAGTTTATAGAAAGCAAAGTGACACTTCACTCTCTAGTCAATCATAGTCGTTTCTACGGAAACGGTTTATGTATATTGCCCCTTATATGCATGTTATACATTACTCTTTTCGTGTATATTAATATATATGACAAAGTTAACAAAATACTATTAAACTGTGTTGTTTTTGCGTGCAGACCTTTAAAAAGTAAACTATAAAAATGGTAAAAGATGCTGATAAAACTCTTTAGCAGAGAATAAAACTTTTAAAGGATAAAGATTAGAAGAAGAAGATTTAATTAATCAAATACGTAGATAAAAAATGAACTAGATGTTTGTCTTTGTTAAGAAATTAGAACATTATGAAGATATTCTTGATAAATCATTTTACTTTTCATTGTTTATCGTGTGTGGATATGTATAAATTTATATGTAATTACTTGTTTATAAAGAGAGAAAACACTATATGACACAAACTGCTCATCGGAGACTAGGAGAAGATTTCTTATTAAACTCTACCCGCCACTTTGAATACAATTAACTTGTCTAGCAAAAGCAGATGGTTGAGGGCCAGCCTAAACTATTATATTACACGTCAACAATATAATTTACTCTTTACTTTAACAAAGGTCATATGTGAGACTCTTTCTTATTATCTAAAAACTAATTAGTTTAGGAAAAGTTAATTATTCTTTTGAAACTGTGGAAGGATACGAATATGACTATTTTCTTCATCATTTTTCATACTATATATTTAGATATAAAAAGCAAATTAGGAAATAATATTTCACATTTAATAAAGAAAATTAATTGAGATGATAATGTGATAATGATAACGATGGCGGTGATGGCAAACATGGAAAGAGAAAGCTAACGATTATATTTCATATATTTTTTTTTTAAAAGAAAATTAAACTCTGTATTAAATTTTATCAAATGAAATTTTAATTATAAATAGTCTCTATTTTCATTAAAGTGAGACTGGTTCAAAATATAAGATGTGAATGAAGCATATAGGAATATCTCAATACGTTGCCATATAAAAATGAGATATATTCGAAGTAATAGTAATAACAATTATAATTAATCTTAAACCATAGAAATATATATATAAAGAACAACATTTAATTATATTCAAACAAATAGACTTGTCAAGCAAAGATTGAATCACTAAGCTTTCTCTTATCCTGCGGGGATTAATGCATAACTTCAGATTTCCCTTATTCATTGTGACATATATTTTATATTAGAATACATATTAGTATGTTGATAAAGTTTAATTAACATTCCTTTTTCAACTACTCAAATTCAAGTTTTCACAACTTTTGAACATTTTACAACCGAATAAACGATCCAGAACGTTTAAACGTTCTCGTTTACCAGATAGATGGCATTGTTGAACGACGGCTGTTAATAAGTCTGTTATTTTCAGTGATAATAAGGCGGATACTTCAGCGTGTTTGGCTTGAAATTTTTGAGCTGCTTCTTTTCCTTCTGTTTTTTATTTTTTTTAAAAAAAAAGTACAAATATAAATATAATTAAAATATAATAAATTCTTATATATTTTAATATATGAGAATAATATAATAAATTGACTTACTTCTCTCTGGTATTACTCGATTTCGAACAAGATCACGCTTATTGGCAGCACAAATAATAGGAAGTTGAGGAAATTCGTTTCTCACACTTTTCATAGTTGAATAAGCTTGTAGAAAGGATTGTCTATCGTTTGGCGTATAAATTGTCAAAATTGCACTAAACTTGTCCAAATCAGTCTGCAGTTGTTGTATTATTATTATTATTTTTTTTAAAAAAAAAAAAAGAAAAAAAATATTTTATATAATAAACTGTATACATGAAGATGAATATTTTATAGTATTAATAGAATCATTGAAAATAACGGCTTAATTGTATGTTAGTGTTTAAGTCACGTTTCTATTACAGAATTTAGTGATATTGGAACACGGAGATTACTTTCATTTACAATAGTATACTAAATTCTCTATTAATCTGTTTCGACTAAAGGATTCTATTGTATTTATTCTTATATTTCGTTTTTCTTCTTCTTTTGAGATAACTGATAGAAAATAGTATCATATTTCAAATCGATCACTGTTCTTTTCTTCTCCTCCCTTCTTTACCCTACTTTTCTCAATGTATCCATCCAGCTGTATTTCTTCCTTTCTATCTATCTATGTATCATATATTGGTTTTATTCTATTCCTTCACCTCTTCTATTATTTTAATCGTACTTTAGGTTAAATTTTTAAAGAGAAAGAAAGACAAGAAGAAGGTGAAAAAGGAAATCTAGAACTAGTATAGTTAACGATTTGTTTTAAATCAATTGATTTTAGTCTATTAGAATCGAGTACGCCTCATTACGGTCGATAATTAAGTAATTGATTTACTAAATATGCTCTGTTTTATTTTATTTGCTGTCATTTATATTTTAAGTTATATAGTAAGATGACCTAATACAGATATTACGTATACATATATCTATAGTATGTGCGTGTGCGTAATCTATAAAGAGACATAAATCTTAACGGAACTAGACGCAATTTCTAACGAGCAGGTATAATACTCCTTAATATCAGACTTGATTAAGTAATTTCTAATTGATTCAATCAATCGGATAAAAAGCATTTAGCTAGAAAACGGGTAAACATTATTTATTTCTGGGTTAGAATGAAAAATTAAAACTAGGTCGTTCGTTAATAAGAAACTTCTAGAGAGAAAGTAATAATAATAATAATAAATGGATGAGTTGAGTGACCTCATCTATAAAATATGAATTGTATATCGCATTTCATGCTATTTTAAATGATTAATAATTATAAAGTTTAATATTTACCACTTCTCCAACATTTGCCTCCTCAACGAATATGATTTCTTCTCGTTTACCGTTAAAGGTCACTTTTATAATAGGTCGATCATTTTCTGTTGCTTACGTGAGGTAAGAGAGAAGGGGTGAGAGGACGGAGGGGGAAAAAAAATAATTATTAGATTTCACTTTAAAGATTGTGGGTGGATATGATAAATTCTCATTTAATTATCTCGACTTATTTTCTCTCTCTTTTCACTTGTATAACATTTGCTTTTCCTATTCAATTTTCTATAGTAATCTATATTTTTCTCTTTATAAATATAGACAGATCTATTTAATAAATCTTCTGACTCAGAACAATTTTTTATGTAGCATAAACGACGTAATACTTACTTGCACAACAGCATATACTTTTATGTTAATCAAACGTTTTACTCTCTTTCGATGGTAAAAGAGTTTTTCACTCAGATGACTTTTCTTGTAAGATTAATATTCTTTTATACTAGCTTTCTCTCTTTCTTAAATGTTGATAGCGGGAAAAGAATAGAGAGGATAATGGAAGAGAGGAAAGAAAGACAAATATACAGTTTGGAAGAGGCTATTAAAAGTCTATCTGTTGATAATAATTCTAAGAATGTAAAAAATGACCCATTGGAGGAAATATTGATTAAATTAACTGTACCGTGAGAGTTTAATACACTTTAACTACCCTTGTCATATTCATATTTAATGCTGTCGATTATCGCTATTAGATTGCGATACAACAAAAAAACGAATAACGAGTCCCAAAGATTAACTATCTGTCATAAAGTAAAACATACTAGAGACATACACATGTCAGCATATACTATACATAGAAATCTCATTGTTCATTAATAAGTACTACTATAAGTAGAAAGCGGAGAGCTGTCGTTTACTCTTATAGCTTAAGTATTGTCAAGAATATTATACTAAGCCTTAAAATTTTCTGCACAATTCTCTTTCTTTCCCTATTATTTCTATCATACATTTTCATCATTTTCATTCATTTATGTACACTATATATATATCTGCCATATACTATCTGTTAAGGATTATAGCTGTATTGAGTATTTGTTCGGAAATTATCAACGTGTCAACTTCAATAACTTAGAGAGATTATGGGCAAAAAAAATGAAATTTCATCTGTAAACCTTTATTATACATAAACGAGAAGGGAAAAATTCCACATTGATTACTTGTCTGTTTTCTTTCTAGAGGAAAGAGTAAACTATGAAGGATAAACAGGCGGTGAAAATCGTATTCTCCTACGCCCCTAAAGCACATGCAAACCGAAATTGATATAAAATATTCAATTAGAGCAAACTTTACTCATCTCTTCACACAAAATTTATAGGCCATTACTTATTTAACATTTATTCTCATACCTTTACACCCACGCTCACTTGACTATTCGAATAACACGTAGAAGCACGAAAAACCATCAGCAAAAGGGGGATATTTAATAAAAAGAAAAATAGAGACATAGAAGAGAAAGAAGGAAAAGATGGAAGGGAGGTAGAAGACGAGTTCAAAGATATCTATAGAAGAGCAAATGAACAGGAAAAGCCTTAACCTTTAGACATCATCTAAATTACAAGTATAAAATATATCTATAAATTATTAGGATACTCCTTTCGACTCATTTTAATAGTAATATCGACATGCTACCTCTCTGAGAATAATATATACATTCGTACTATATATATATATATATATATTAAATCGCAATCAAATTTTTTTTTACTTAGAGCTTACCTTCCATACCGCAAATTGTCCTAAACGATTCTATTAGTGAACTCTTTCCAACACCACTGACACCAACAATCAAAACGTAATGTATACTTTCTTTGGTACTGTCTGAAGTTCTTCTTGATCTACCATCAACCGGACTTGAAATTCCGCTCTCGTAACCGGAAGAGGATCTGGAAGCTGTTTTCAGTTTCTTTTGGCGGTTAGAGGTAAGAGGTTTTGCCGGCATACTTGTTGTTCTCGGCCTAAGTTCATCAGGCATCGGTTGAGGTGGTCTTCTAGAAGACGCGCTATAAGCGCGAGCTCTATATTCTTCGAATTCATCGTAGTCGGCGGCTAGCATGACTTTTGCTGTATAAAAAAACAGCAATGGCAAGCGTCTCTTTTATACCGCTAGAAGCGGCCCTATTGAGCATGCGCAGTGCGCTAGGTTTAAACTACAATCCTTGTTTCCTTTAGCAGGACAGAAACATGTTTTCCTCTTCCACTCTGGGAAACATCGGGTGTGTTGCGTCCTAAGTACTCTTAAGTTTTTTATTAGGAGAAAAGAAAACTCCATACGTACTGATTAATTTTATTGTTATTGCATAACTTAAACCCTTACTAATTTTAATGAAAAGAGTTACTTTCCTCACTCTTAGATCTTTAAATAAAACAAAAATCACCGTAACGCCCTCTCTGGACGCGTTTTATATTAGCCGAAAGTAGAGAAACATTCAAAGATACTACTTTATAAATATATAATAGGAAACAAAGGTAAGCGTAAGTCGGCGTCAATTAACTTATCGGTAAAGATAACAACAATACCTGGTTTAGAGGAAATCATATAAGGAAAAAAACTAATGACGACAACAATTCCTGTAAAAGTCTGATTTATGACGAATATACACTATGATTTGTAAGGTTAGAGAAGAAGAAGAAAGGTAACTGGGTGGCAAATAAAAGGTGAAGAAAATAAATAAGGGATAAAGCTAGTGTTTATTCCAGGGTCAAATAACGCTAAACACAGTTAAAAGTAAAGATTCAAGGGGAAAAAATCTTGTTTTTTTGTCTAAATATGTGCGACGGTAGAAATTTCCTTTAGGCTCTTGTTTATATTACTTATCCAACTAGATGTCTTTTCTCTCCCTTCTTTCTCTTTTCATCTTTGCCTTTTAATATACCCTTGTTTAATCTCTATATTAATATTCATAAGCATAGTACAAATTTCGGACAACATTTTTAACTAATTAATAAAAAAATACACAAGAAAATAAATAATTGTAAAACCTAAAATGACTCAGACGATATTTAATGATATTTTCAAGAATATTTAACGAAATCAGCCCATTTTGCCTATTCATTATCGTTTCTTAAGAAACAGAGGATAGTTATAAAAGATGGAAAGATTTAAATGAAATAAATACAATCATGTTTCTTAAACGTTACAGTTTAATATTTCTCGTTAATAAATTAATTATATCAGTCAAATAGCACTGTTTTTTTCTCGAATTCTTCATTAACTAACAGTAGTAAAACATTCTGGTTCTTGTTGTTTACTGTGCTTCAGTATTACTAATTTTTGGCTGATTGTACGATTGAGTTTAGAAGCTTCAAGCTATTTTAAACGTACCCTTTCAACTCTATTTCTTTTTTGTATTTTAGTTCAGCTATATTCGTCCGCATTTTGTCTAATATTTCGATCGGAGCCGCTATTGTTTTACATCACGGAATACATTTAAAGTTTATGGTGGGAACGCTGATAGAGTCGAATGAAAATTTGGTAACGGTCAAATGCGTTATTATCGAGATAACTTTAAAATCTCGATCATTGTGGCGTCTACCAAGAATATGACGCCAAATATGAGCTGATATTCAGTAGTCCACTTATTATATTAGACGCTAGTCTTATTCAATAGATTTCGTTATATCATTTTAGTGAAAAAGATGTATGAAGCCTTCAGCCAGTTTTGTTTCTTTGAAGATGAAGACCAACTTCCTAGTTTTTGTTTTTATATAGATATCTATATTTTCCTTGACTCAGCAGCAGAGATTTTTTTTCTGACCCAGTCTAGATATTCATTTCCTCTTCGCTTTTACCTTCCTACCTTCTCTCTTATTTTTCCATTTTACTCCCTCCATCCCATCTTTAATTCGTTCATTTAAATCTCTGCTATTACAAATTCTGTAAAGCATATTAAAGAATTATCAATTCTCCTCTCATCTCATAAATATTTTACATTGAGATAATACAAACTCAATAAACCTCTTCTCTTCTCTTCTCTTCAAGACACAGACACACCTACATACTCTCTCTCTCTCCCTCTCACTAATTCTTCTTCCCATTTATTTCAAGGCTAATTTATTTTTAACATCTTGAAGAGTCAGCAAAAAAGCATCTCTGTATAATACAAAAAAGATTTATCATGTATGTTTTAATTTAATAACGACTTTAAAAATAAAATATATGTATGTATATTATATATAAAAAAGGAATTAATAGCAATGTGTAACTTGAAAGGACATTAATCACTTCATAAAGTTGCATAAAATACATTTTTTCTTCTCAAATCTCAAAATGAATAAAATTAATCATTGTAATTAATTAAAAAGCCTGATTCAGAATACTATGAAAACTTTCACCCATATCTTTTTACTATTAGCATTGGTTTCAAAATGCAAACTTGTATAGTCCTATGCGTTATTATTTTACATATATAACGATTATCACTATAATAAGTCTTTTTTATAGAGTATAAGCTAATTCTGTATATTTTATTATAGTATATAGAATTTTTTTTACATTTATATATATCATAGAGACTTCTGGGAATTTTTACTTTTTAATCAATTAATTTCAAGATTCAAACATTATAAATCTGGAACTAGTAAAAGTAACGGCCTACATTGATAAATCAGCATTACATATATATATATATATACTTCCGCAGTATATATTACGATATATATATTGTATATTAAATGAAATGTATTTATTATGAAGAGTTTATATCCGTATTATACTAAAGAAAGCTGTATTTGGATCTATAAATGGACTAGATCCATAGAGATTTTATGATACAATATTACAATATTGGTAAGGAATCAGGTGTTACAGCCATCTTAAAAGGCAAATAAGCAAACCACATTTATTACATTTTATATGTCGCTAGATATTAAACTTATATACTTTATATTGTTATCTATTATTATAGCTAATACTGCTGTCATTTTGTTTCTTATTTTATCTTATCAATCATACTCTCTTCTTCTTTTAAGTTAGAATTAGAAAAAGTGAAAAACTTAAAGATAGATGATAAGAATCCAAAAAATTGATGCTATAGATAAACAGACGATAGAAAAGTAAACTGATTAATAAGTATATATATATATTTTTTAACTGTGCGTATATTAATAAAATGAGATATCTCATTAATAATTCAAACCAGTGTACCCTTTGATTTTACTCTGAAAATTTAATAATGCTTTTATAATGGGTCAAGTTTGAATTAATATTATAATTATTCAAAATAAATATATAATAATCACTAGTACATACGAATGTGTAGTTTTCCATTAGTGTCAGATGGAATGATAACAAAAAAAAACAGCAAGTATTATCGTGTTAAAAGGATTAAACAAAATTTTCAAAAAAATAAGAAATGTTTTTTTTTAAAAAAAAATTACTGTATTTTCTTTTTTAACCCTTTTCCTTTCCTCTATTTTGTCTATTTTGTACCTTTTATATTTTTATGCATATCCAAAAACACGTCAAAAATCAGGAACGGCGTCAAAAACTTAGTATCCTATAACATTATAAAGCTATAAACAGAATGAATAACTTAAGCGTTTAACATATCAAAATACAGGTAAACAATGTTTTTAATTTGAGTATGTTTATGACATATTCTAGTCAATAAGTGGTATATTTTGTAAAAGAAAAGGGAAAGAGGAAACAAAGTCAGCCACACACATATTTTCTTTTTTTAACTCTTTAAGGCTTTATATATCTTTCTTTATATCTTGTACATTCAGATTAAATAATATTATAATTATGATTATAATTATATGATATTTAATAGATAATTTATTCTGCGTAGAAGAGTGAATGTGTAATAAACTTTGTTATATTTTACTATGTTTATGTAGTATTTGATTTTTTGACCAAGAAAAATGATATGTAAGAAAAAGGTAAAAGATGTACGTATATGTGTATATGTATGTGAATTTATGCATATATATACATTTATATAATATTGCTATTAGTATGAACTAAAGTTCTATTTGCATCTGATTCATATAACAAAAAGAATTTAAATAATTTGAAATACATATCTTATTCAGATATAATGAAATCTTTACATTATTTATATAAATAAGACTATAATACAGTACATATTCATATATATATATATTTATTTATATTAAGAATAATAAATGTTAATAACATACATAAAGGATAGTAGTAGAAAGTTAAGGAGGTATTCGGTATCAAGAAGGACAGTTTCTCAATGAAGAAGCTTCCTCCTCCTAAATGTATAAATATAGAATGACAGAGAACTATTATCTACTAAATAACTCATATTTAATTTTTATAGGTTTTATATTAAAGAAAAGTGCTTAATTTACATCTTGAATAATAATAGGCTGTTACCTAAAACATTAATCTAATAAATCAATACATGTTCTTGACAAGAGACATACTAAAAATGAATTTACATCCTTAAAAGAGCCTATTGATTTCCTAAGTTTTTTTACTCTCTTACTTTTTTAAAAAAAAAAAATTAAAGAAAAGATAAAAATCCGTTAAATAAAATTGCTTTACTTTTAGCGGCTCTTGTAAAGGGAGACAAAAAAAACCATGGTAGTATAGTCGAATCTATATGCTTGCTTCCAGCTTCCGTGTCAATTATCTTTCTCAGTACCTGCTGTTGCAGCAGACTTGAAATTAGTCCTATAGAGTTTACTCTTTTTTTTTTGCCTCCTATCTTTGGAAGAAATATATCAATATAGGAAAAAAATTGTATGGTATATATGTGGTTATGTAAATGAATATTTAGATAAATCTGTATTTGTATAGAAGATAATTTGTCGATTTTAATTAATATCAATAGCTTTACTTAGTCTTTTCCGTTTGCTGAATTTCCCTTGTTCAAACTAATCTTTCTTACTGCTTCGATGTCTTAAAAATTTTTACAGGGGTAGCTTTTCTACGTCTTCTAGTGTTTTTGTAATGTTTACTGCAAAAGTTTAATTTCTACTACTATATTAAAATAGAGAACTCTTACTTTACACCAACAACTGCCACATTAACCTTTGATCATGTTTCCTTTTATATCAATTTGATTGTTTTTCCTCTATGATTGTGCAGATTCTAT